TTCTCTATTAGTATAGCTGATTAAGCAGGACAGTTATTTATATTGTCTATTAAATTTCCCATTAATTGTATTTTATTAACGTCTACCCCTACCCAAATCCTAAACCCAACCGTGACTGTAATGTAAAAACAGATCTGGATCTGGAGTCCTCCCTCTTAGTAAAGCTAATTTACCATGAGGATGGTTGATAACAGCCTTCTGAGCCTACCAGTAGGTGTAGAACGCCCCTACTGCCCCATATCTATCAGCTGATAACTACTGATAACGCGTATTCAATCGAGTGATAACATTCAAATCAGGTGTTTTTTTGATGGTCCTTTAAATGCATTTTGTTGAATTAAGTCACATTGCATCATGCCAACTAATTCTCAATAGATTATAAGTTGACTGTAGGTTGGGGTTAGTGTTAGTGTAAGTTGACAGGCACTTGCAAAGTTTCTTATAGTCAGTTAAATGTCTGTTGAAGGAGCAGTATCAACATTAAGCAGCTCAACTGAGAATTAAATGGTATGTAGTTACAACTTTTAGTCAACAAAATTCAATAAGGACCATCAAGATAAAGTTTTACTCAAAATTTAGATATCATTGGAAAGAAGAAACTTTGAGCTTTACTATGGTCCATCTAGAATGTTTCATGCAAAAAAATAAAAAATAAAAAAATATAAACGTATATATATATATATGAAAACATTATGAAGTAATGAGAAAGAAAAATTGTATTGTGTTTAATTTTTTTTTTCATACACAAACACAAGAAAACATTAATGTAACGTCCTAAAAATATATGCCTTGACAGGCAAGTTTCTCATAAGTTTAAATTTCAAATTAGATGAAGATAGCATGCAAAATAAGATATCTGTAAAAAGTTTTCTGAGACTCTATCAGTGTCTTCCTCTCCCTCACCATCAGAGGCCCTTTTTCAAAAATGACCTTCCCATACTAAGGGCTCTATTATACACCCAGTGCAACATGGCGCAAGGCGCGACGCAATTGTTGATTGCTAGTTTCAGCTTGGCGCAAGAGTCATTTTGAGGCGCATTGCTGGTGCGTTGCTATTTTGAGGAACTATACTAGATTGTTCAATAAATTTCTTTTGCAAGCTGGTGTACTTCTCAGAGCATGACAAGCTGACAAAACATTGCTGGCACTCTGAAACAAGTTTTATTTATGAAGAAAATTACAAAGCACTGCAATGTTTGGGTGTTTTATGTTTGTCTGAGATAGTTAGTCGATTGAAATGTGTATATTGCATATAAGCTGATAAGTCTTGTCACCTGACTCGCGGGCACTTGCCGCACTCATTCAACTATATTCATCTGGAAGGCTCAAGCGCGTCTCGCTGCTTGCGAGCGCAAGCTACGCACCTCTATTGGAAATAAAGAAGTTGCACGAACTCTAGAAAAGACACGATATGCAAACAACCCCTAAAAGGCTGCCCTCTTTTGCAATCTCCAGCAGTTGATCTTCTTGCACAGACATGGTGGATTCATTTGACAAATGGGTTGCGGATCCATTCCTTAGCTGTTCGTGGGTCCTTCACTGGGCCTTTTCCCCTTTGCAAAGGAACTTTCCAAAGACGTCTGTTTCGTACTCATTTTGCTGCTTGTGGGTTACATTTGGGCGCTTAAGTGACCTGAATGTAAGTGAGAGAATACGGTCATTTTTCATAATAAAAGATTTTTCAAATTAAAGGTTGTTCAGACTTAGATAATAAAAAAGTTGAAATAATTTATGATTTCTTGTGCGGTCCAGTACTAATTGATCCACGGACCAGAACCGGTCCTCAGCTTGAGGACCACTGATCTAGAGTTTATAACGCTCAAAAAAAAAAAAAAAAAAAAAAAAAAAAATTTCCGGTGCTCAAGTAATGTAAAAAAAAAAAAAAAAAAAAAAAACACCACACATAACATTTTAATGTTTCATGAACAAATATATGAAATTAGTATTTTATTAATAATGAATAATATTAAATTATCCTAATTAGGTATTAGGTAATTAATACTGTTTTTTTTCTGTAGACATTCAAAAAAAATTATATATATATATATATATATATATATATATATATATATATATATATATATATATACACTCTAAAAACTGCTGGGTTGAAAACAACCCAATTTGGGTTGTTTTGGTAACCCAGCGCTGGGTAAAAAAGGGACAAACCCAACGCTGGGTTACTTTAACCCAGCAAGTTGGGTTACAAGTTTAACCCAGCATGCTGGGTTGTGATTTTAACCCAACTATTAGTTAAAAATTACTACACTGCTGGGTTGAATGTAACCCAAAATGGGTCAGAAATTTAATCTAGAAACTGATGATTAAAATCACTAAAATAAAAACAATTCTACAGCAATACATAGTTGTTCAGTAATGGAATTTTATTTATGACAAAAGATAAAATGTGTCCAAATGAATTTGAGATTTTTCCCATCTGCACCTCAGCATTAACCCTTTGACTGCCTGCTCTACCAAATGGTTGACCTCGTTTTTACTGTTTTAAATAATGACTGTTAAAGTCATAAGAAAAAAGATGATTTAGTGTTCAAAATATTTCTTTTAAATATATATATATATATATATATATATATATATATATATTTTTTTTTTTTTTTTTTTTTTAATTGGTCTTACACATAATTTTTCAGATTTTTCATAATTCTGGTACTTTTACCATAAACATACATATCAATCATTTGGTAGAGGTTGATATTTTAGAAATTATAACATGTGTTAAAAAATGTACTGATTGTGTTCAATAGCGACATTAGCAGTTGAGAAATGCAATCCAATTTTTTTTCTTGAAAGGGTTGTTAAAGGGTTAAGACGATTTCTGTGAAAATTTATCAAACTGTATCACAGAAATACTGACTAAAGTTCAGTAACAATGCATCAGACTGAAATCAGACAAATTACCTTAAGAAAATGCATATTTGAAATACATTCAAAAACATTTGCATCATTTATAAATCAGGAATCATCAGTAAGGCAATTGCAATGTTATTGCAGAGTAGAGAAAAACAATAGTATAAGGAAGTAATAATGAAAATGCATCTAAATGACTGAAGTCAGAAAGTAATTTGAGCACAAACATCAACATATTCTCATATAAATCATCAACTGCAATGCAGAAAAAAATATGTGAAAGTAATCATGAAAAGGCATCAAACAGCTTGAAAAAACAAAACAAACAATAAAAACTAAGAAAATACAAATTTTATATTAAGAAAAAATAAGAAAACATTTTATAACTTTCCCTTTAACAATTATGTGCAAACATCAATATATGAGCTATAAAGCAATCATCAGTAAGGATGATCAAGTTCAATGTAAATGCAGTTTTGAAGAAAAAACAGATATAAAAGTTAAAATGAAACCTGAGGATGGAAGCATTTTAAAACAAATTTGAAATAGGAAAACTTTTTTTAACTTTTACTCGAACAATCATGTGCAAACATCAATCCTGAGATATAAAAGAGTCTGTAAGAAACATTAGTTGCAATGTAACTGCAGTGTAGAGTGTCTTAAAAAATATCTAGTCCATTATTATGTGCCGTCATCATAGCAAAGAGAAAAGAAATCAGTTATTAGAAATGAGTTATTAAAACTATTCTTTAGAAATGGGTGTCATGGTGGCACAGTGGGTAGTATGATTGCCTCACAGCAACAAGGTCGTTGGTTTAAGCCTCAGCTGGGTCAGTTGGTGTTTCTGTGTGGAGTTTGCATGTTTTCCCCGTGTTCGTGTGGGTTTTCTCTGGGTGCTCCTTTTCCCCCACAATCCAAAGTACAAGTTAAAGAACACAGAATCCAAGGAAGCAGTGAGGTCACAGTATTAATGATTACTGTTTGTCAGCAAAAATTAATGCTATCAGAACCCTTACTGCTAGTGTCTCCTCCCCAGGATGTCCATAAACCACAGTCTGCCACACCAGGGAACACTGCTTGGGGTAGTTCACACCAAAGATGTAGAATGCTTTATAGCAAACGTCCACTTTGGCAAGTAATGTACTTTGCAATAATAAATAGCACAGCACGTGAGCAAAGGCTTGAAAGAAGTGGTGGTCTCCAAGGATGAGAACATGAGGAAACTCAATAGATTCTTGAATTCAATGGATGAAGATACTCAGCAATATTGGTCCCAATCTGAAAAAATAAATAGAAGTAAGATTTATTAAAAACTCAAAAGTGTAAAAGTTAAATATCTTTAGAGTTAACTTTAGAACACCTAAAATACCTTTAGAAGCAATTAAGGCCATAACACACCAAGCTATCAGCCAGTGTTGGCATTAGTTAACCACTGACCATGGCACCATGCTGCAATTTTTTGGCCCGAGTGAAGATGACAATGCAACAACAGGTTTGCCTAAGGAACTTTTTTTAATAAGTAATAGTAAGGCAAGATGAGCATTTGAAATTATTAAGTATTTAATTGTGTTTTCTTAATGAGAATAGATAAGGCCCTTCTTCCTGAGCTGGGACTGTTTGCAACTGTATTTGTATCATTTGAAGCCGCATTTAAATTTTCTTTAAAAACTTCAAAAATGAGGCACAATCTCAGTTCAAGATGGATAAAATTGCTGAAATATTTTCCTAAAAAAAAAAAACTTTCTGACTGAAGAAAGAATGACATGAACATCTTGGGTGACAAGGGGGTGAGTACATTATGTGTGAATCTTTTGTTCGAAGTGGACTTCTCCTTAAATGAAAATAATTGGCTTACAGGCCATTTAGAGTTTGTTGCATTCACTATCTATATAAAGCATCTTATCACTAAAAATTTGAAACCATAGCTGTGACCAAATCACAACTTTCACAAAACCGTCATCTTTTTATGTTTTACGCAGCAGATGCCCTTTCAACTGCAACCCATCACACTCTCATTTACACACACACTATGGACAATTCAGCTTACCCAATTCAGCTACACCGCATGTCATTGGACTGTGGAGGGGAAACCCATCCAAGGCTCAAACCAGCGACCATCTTGCTGTGAGGCGACAGCACTACCCACTGCGCCCCCATGCCACCCTAATAACAAACATAAAAATAACATTTTCATTGTTAATAAAATAACTAAGACAATCATTATGCATTAAATGCATCATTATGCATCGAGAAACCTTTAATTGAATCCTTACCCTCTGAATTGTATTCAAATTGACCTAAAAACGAGGAAAGGTTCGCTCCTGTGCTAAAAATAAAACAAGAGAATGTCACTGGTTGCATGAACAGCAGATTTTAAAAAATAACCAGACAAAAACAAATTGGCATTAGAGTTCAATCTCTCAGTTTAAAGTGTTGAAGTGGCTAATGATTACTAGGGCTGCCCCCTAATAATTGAATAACCATTAGTCAACTAAAAATTTATTATTCATTCATTCATTTTCTTTTTAGCTTTGTCGCTTTATTAATCTGGGGTAACCACAATGGAATGAACCACCAACATATCCAGCATAAGTTTTATGCAGCGAATGCCCTTTCAGCTGCAACCCATCACTGGGAAACACATACTCATTCACACACATACACCATTGACAATTTAGTCTACTTAATTCACCTTTACCACGTCTTTGGAAACCGGGGCACCTGGAGGAAACCCACGCGAACACGGGGAGAACATGCAAACTCCACACAGAAAGGCCTATTGACCCAGCCAAGGATCGATCAAGTGACCTTGTTGCTATGAGGCGAATGTGCTACCCACTAGTTGCAGAAAAAAAGTCCACACTGGCAAAGTCAATGTATGCTGCATGAATCCGCTGTGTAAAAAATATGCTGGATAAGTTGGCGGTTCATTCCGCTGTGGCGACCCCAGATTAATAAAGGGACTGAGTCAAAAAGAAAATGAATTAATGAATAAATGGTTTATTAATAAATCTGTAATTATTCAACTAATGCTTCAAATGAACATCACAAGTCAACCAGACAAATGTTTAGACAAGGGCAGCCCTAATGATTACAATGAACCAAGTAAAATATTATTACATACCTTCAAATGTGGGGATTAACTCCTCAAGATTGCATTCTTTTAGTTTGATTTTCACGCAATTATCCATCTGAAAAAGAATAACAGATAAAAGCGTTTAAGCAAAATTAAGTAAAAAAAGATCATGTTAGCCAAAAGTCACTATATCACAAAAATACTCCTAAATGATAATAATTATCCAGGGTGTCACATAAAACGGTGGTCAAACTTTTTCTTTTTGCAGTCGAAGATGATTAGGTTGGAATTAGCCTTAGCTCAGACATTTCCGTTAGCATGAAACGACCCTTACATACAGGATTAATTAAAGATAGCTCAAATCACGTCTAGAATGTAAAATGCTCATAGTAAATTAATAACATTTGCTATTCAATGTACAGATGTACAGCTAAACAAAATGTACATGCAGAGCAGGACAATTATTGTATATATTTTGATAAAAAAAAAAACATTGTTAGAAGCTGAATTCAACACTTATGCATCAAAGTATTGTCACAAAAATCCATGAACAAGCTTAAGAAATACAAGAGTAAAAATACTACTTACTGCTTTACAGTTAACACCCCAGAAAGATCACAAATCACAGTAACGTTACTTACTGTCATCACCTAGCCAACATAAAAATCTGTGTCATTCAAAAGGCATTTTATTACAATAAAAAGCTCCTAAATTATCCTAGGTGTTGTGTTTATAAAGTGGTCATCAAACATGCTTCACGTTAGTTTCATTAGTTACCTTATACTTTTCGAGCTCCTTCCGATGCCATGCGCGCTTACCCGTCCACCGATCAACAGGCTGGGCGTGAGGCGAGCACAGGTCAGGCGTTAGGCGGAGCAACAGCTCAGGCGTTAGGCGGAGAAACAGGTCCGGAGAAACAGGTCGCCGTTAGGCGGAGAAACGGGTCCGGAGAAACAGGTCCGGAGAAACAGGTGGCTCGTCAGGCGGACTCGGAGCAACAGTTCAGCCATAAGGCGAGCACAGGTCAGCGTGAGGCGGAGCAACAAGTCGGCCATCAGGCGGAGAAACAGAAAAAAAAGCGCGTGTATATTATACTAAGTAAACTAAGTGTGTTATTTCTTATGAAAATTGTTAAATACACACTAAATAACTTACGTCTCACACAGAATTTCACTCGCTTCCCCTCAAAGACAGCGCAAAGAAAATGGCGGTTTCTCACTTTGATGTCCCTGCATGTTGACGTGACGTGCGTGCTCTCTTTCACGTCCGCGTTCCCAACCCAGCACTGCTGGGTTATAGATAAAGATCGATTTTCAACCCAAATTGGGTTGAATCAACCCAATTTTGTTACCCAGCAGTCTCAACCCAGCATTTGGGTTAAAAAACCAACCCAGCGTTTTTTAGAGTGTATATATATATATTGATTAAAGAGGCTAAAAAAATTAAAGACAGCTTTGATTTCAACTAGAGAAGAATTTCTCTAGAAGAAACAATATCATAGGAAAAAGTGTGAAAAATGTCTCGCTCTGTTAAACAGCATTTGGGAAATATTTGAAAATGAAATTATTTTAACTTCAGCTGTATATATTTTGTCTGTACTCATCAAAAGTGGATCTGTTTCTTGTTTTCACGAGTGCTTGGTTTTAAGCAGTTGTAACCTTCCATCTATGAGTCTTTTCTCCTTGAACTAGAATGTCGATTTTCAAAAAGATTCCTTTGTACACGGCCAAGAACATTTATTCACCTTGTATCCGGTTTTCAATCAATGTATTTCACTGAGGTTTCATCATTTTTTATTAGCTATGATAAAAATCCCAATGATGAATTGCAAAGATGTGTCCTTGATATCTGTTAATTTGGGGTTTAAATGTATTCATTCATTTAAAACATGACACTGCAAACAAACTGTGGAGGCTCGGAAGGTCAATGTCAGCTTTTAATTTTTTTTTGTGAGTGTTCATACAGATGACATATCTAATAAATGTAGCAAAGAAATATTGTCAGCACCATCGCCCACGTAAATATTTATCACAACACATAAAAAGAAGAGAGATTATTTATGCAATTGAAAGGATCTCTGTTGCTGTGTTGGTAATTGGAATGGAAGCATTTTTATAGGGAGTGAATAAAGCTACAATATTGAACTCTGTGATACTGTATATAAAGAAAGAACAGACATAGAAATTGAGTAAAACACTACAAGGAGGCAAATCAAGGTCAATGTCAGCTTCCATCATTAAGGTTTTTATCATAAATGATCTTCGCTGTATGTTTCATATTTTGAGATTGTGGGGAGACTTCATTGGAGTGGGCGGAGCTTGTGGGATTTTTGTTGAGCATCATGGGTAATGTAATTTAATGTAATTTTGGTGTGCAAACACTTAATTTCTATTATTATTTTATGCCAAGTTGTCAATCAAGAAAATAAGGACAGGGTAAAAAATACATGCAACTCATTTCTATGGAGGACCCAACCTGCACAAATATAAAAAAAAATAAAAATAAATGAATGTATTCGTTTGTTCAAATTCACTCACTCATTTTTATACAACAATTCTGTCTGGTTCTCTGATTAGCTGATAGCTCTGCGATATTCTGCAATATCAGCACTCCTACAGCCTCCTCATCCTTGTGTATTACTCCGCCCACATAGCGTGTCAGCAGATTAATGGACTCACTAGTTTGACAAATATTGCTGCTGTTGGACAATATAATGTGCTTTTGTAGGCGAGAATGTAGTTGTTTAGATTGCATCTATGCAGTTTATTTATAAGAATAGTGTCTATTTTGAAATATTTATAATTTCAGAGACACAGTGCATCGGCATCCATTAGCCTGTCATACTGAGCAGAGAAAAGGCGGTTTATGCTCCGCCACAAGATGGCGACAGAGACCAAATAAGCCCTTACAGGAGAAAAACCTTTCGTGGTTAAAATATATTCTAACTACAGCTGATCAAATCATTATAAAACAGGTAACTGACATTCTAACTTGATCTCTTTCTTTTGTAGTGCTGTATTTATACACTGTAAAAAAATCTATAATTTTACAGTTTATTTCCGGCAGCTGGTATGCCACCAATAAACCGTAAAATAACGGCCGTTAAATTACAAACATTTACTGTAACATAACAGAGGACGAATTACAGAAATTTACCAAAAATTTTAATTTAAGTACATTTCTGTAATTTAATGTCCATTACTTTACAGTAAATTATTTTTCGGCACACCAGCTGCTGGAAATAAACTGTAGAATTGCAGATTTTTTTATTGCAGGTCACCATAGTAATCTGGTAGTGTTTGCTTTGCTTTGTTTTGGCTTTTTTGAGATTAGTTATTGTGATATCTCGATTGCAACATAGAAATCCTGGGAAATCTCTGTAGACTGATGGCATTTCATGCCGTTCAGCCTTATAATCCTACAAAGTGAGCAAAATCGCCTGTTTCGTCATCACTTTAGACATTATGCTAGAGAATCATTCAAATACTTTAGCTCTAAAGTGACATTTGTGAAGTAGCAATGGTTTCTGCTGTTCTGACATCAGCTGCAGATGTGCATGAATGACGGAAGAAAGTAGTTCCTCATACAAAAGCATTTTTAACACTCTCCGTATTAGATTTTTTCTTTTTTATACAAAATTATATCGTTGAAATTTTGTATAAATGCTATTTTACACTCATAGCAGTGCGATGTGGCTGTATTTTGTCACTGCGGCCTTGTGCCAAGGTACCCTTCCCATTTGTACCCCTTTGTGCACATGTATACATCAAAGGGTACATATTAATAGCTAAAAAGTACAAATGTGTACATCATATTAACTAAAAGGTTCAAAAGTCTACTTTAAAGGTATAAAATTGTACCTTTAAGGTACCAACATGCAGTACCTTCTGAGAACAGTGACTTGTTTTTATACCTTTAATTCTCATTTATTTTGTTTAATCTTTCCTGATACATTTTCACAATGAACTAAATATATTTGCTTCCTAATGTTCAGTTTTCCACCAAAAAAACAATCCTTTGCCTACACCCTCCGAAATAAAGGTACTAGAGCTGTCACTGGAGCAGTACCAGTGTACAAACAAGTAAACATTTGTATCTAAAATGTACATATTATTACCCAAATATACAAATGTGTAACTCTGGATATTTCTATGAACTAATATGTACCTTTGAGCTGCCAATATGGAGGCTTAATGTGCTTTCTGTACACTTGGACTGCCACAGTAGCTATGTTTCCATCCAAAAATGCGAATAAACTTTATGCGCAAAACTGGATTATCGCATAAAAGTTGTGAGAATGAAGCATCGTTTCCATCCAACGAGTCAAAGCGAACAAAATTGTCACTTCCTGATTAACTGGCGCCAAATATCAACAGTAAAAACTGCATTTGCTGCAGTAGGAGAAGCTGCATCAATCCTTTCTAAATGAATGCACCTCAGAAGACAATCCTGACAAGCAGTGAGCGCGCAGTGGTGTTTGAAGGTGTCAGACGCGGAGCACAGGCGCTCTTGATCCTGGAGGTCATTAATAATATAATAACACTAATACTGAAATGGTAAGGCGTTTTATAATGACCAAAACAACATTTCAGATGTTTTATAATGTGCTCAGCCTGACATTTTATCCATTCACACACATTTTAAGCATCACATGATCTCTTTTAACAAAATCACATGACCTTTTTTAATGCCCATGCTGGAGTTTGTGCAGTAAAATTGTTTCCATCGCAGTTTATTCGCATCTTTTCTTATCGAATAAAAAGTTTATCCTACCCAGTTAGGCGCAGAAGTTTTTTATGCGCATCATGGCTTTTCCATCAACTGTTTTTTTTTATGCGCATTTGCAAATATTATAAAATAGGTGGATGGAAACATAGCTAATGACAGCTCTAGTGCCTTTATTTCTAAGAGTGTATGTCCCTAAATTAATTAAAATGGCCCTGTTTAGGTGTGATAAACATGAAAAACAGTGTCAGTTTAGCTTTTATTTAAAATTACAACATATTTTTTGCTATAGATCAGCCTTTTTGCTTGTAAACTCAAATTGAACATCACTGTAGACTGATTTACTGATTTAGATTTTGCCACAAGTACACTGAAAAAAGTGTTGCATGCAGAACTGTTGCAAACAGATTATTTGTGTTGAATTTAAACAAACAAATTAAGTTTAATAATGTTCAACTTAATTTGTTTGTTTAAATTCAACACAAATGAATTGTTTACAACCACTTAACATAAAAAAAATTAAGTAAATCCAAGGAATCATCTTTAAATAATTTTTTTCAGTGTACATCTGGGCTTAGATAGTCCTTAACACCTGAAAAAAAGATGGAATTTCATTAAAAAGTATATGAATAAACGTTGATTACCCCGTGGCAGTGGCTAGAACTGTCGCCTCTCAGCAAAAGGGTCGCTGGTTCAAGTCCCGGCTATGTGGAGTTTGCATGTTTTCCTCCGGATGCTCCCGTTTACCCCCAGTCAAAAGACATCCGATATAAAATTGGGTAAGCTAAAGTGTCTGTAGTGTGAGCGTATGGGTGTTTCCCAGTACTGGGTTGCGGCTGGAAGGGAATCCGCTGTGTAAAACATATGCTGGAATAGTTGGTGGTTCATTCCGCTGTTGTGACCTCTGAAATAGCCAAAGGAAAATGAATGAATGCACAAATGTTAGCTGTGTTGATTATTTATTTTATTATTATTTTGACAGGATTGAATTGAAGTTATTTCTAATAGTTTTGAATACATTCTAATGTGGTAGGTTTTCTTTTGAAGAGTTTTCTTCGTGTGCACATGGCAGATTGTCTGTATACAGTATGCAGAGAAGGAAGCACTTGTCCATTGCACACTGGCAGCATTTCTGCATTTCGAGCAAACAGTTGAGCCAATGCTGAACATGTAGCTCTCCAG